CCCTTTGGCCTATGCAATGCTCATGGGACTTTCCAGCACGCAATGAACCAGATCTTTCATGAATACTTATCAGCGTGTACCTCGACGATATACTTATCTTTAGTGAGACTGTAGAGGAGCACGCTGAGCACGTGAAAACAGAGCTAGGTCTCCTGAGACAGCACCAGTACAAGGTTAACTTGGAGAAATGCGAGTTTGATCACACCAAGATCTTGCACTTGGGTCATGAGATTTTCGCGGATGGTTTGAGGCCGGATGATGCTAAGGTGGCCAGCATACGAGACTGGCCCAGACCTCAGTTTGTGACTGAGTCGAGGTCATTCTTGGGGATGACAGGCATTTACAGACCGTTTGTAAAGAATTACAGCACTATAGCCTCCCCGTTGACTGACCTCACATGCCTCGACACCCCTTGGGAGTGGACAGAAGAGTGTGAGGCAGCCTTCAAGAAATTGAAGTACGCTTTAACACACTATGAAGTCCTTAAACTGCCAGATCCTTAACAGCCCTTTGTTGTGTTCACTGACACCAGCCAATACGGCATAGGCGCGGTCCTTGCGCAAGAGGGGAAAAAGTTGAGGCCCATTGAGCACATGAGTAAAAGGATGTTGTCTTAGAAGTTATCAAGTCCACATAAGTGTGAGCTTTATGCCCTCTACCAAGCGTTGGTCCACTGGAGACATTATCTCCTTGGCAGATTCTTCTATATGCGCTGGATTAAAACACAGCCTGTGCTCTCTGGCGCACTGAAGAGATGGATTCAAGTTATAGACATGTATGATTTCCAACTTGATCCACTCAAAGGAGTGGTTGATGCATTATGGCGTAGGGCAGACTATATGGGCGCGCTAGTGACTGAGTTTGGGACATCTGAAGATGTAACTCGATCTTTGGTGGAAGACTATCAAGAGGACGCAATTTTCTCTGAAATCATTTGCAAACTGGAAGCGAAAGATAAAACCACTTCCGATGAGTTTGTACTGGTTGCAGGGTTGTTGTTCCTTGAGAAGACCGGGAATAAAAGACTTTGTGTGCCTAATAGGGAATCTTTACGTAGTTTATTTTTAGGTGAGTGTCATGACGCAACACGTCATTTTGGATTTAAAAAGACTCCAGCTAACTTGGTACAGAAATTTTGGTGGCCCACGACGATGAATGATCTCAAAACGTATGTAGAGACTTGCCAGGTTTGTCAACATGACAAGCCTAGGACGCAGGCACCGCTTGGGCTGCTCAAGCCCTTGCCTATTCCTGCTGGTCCCGGTCAGAATGTGTCCATGGATTTCATGGATACTCTTCTGACCAGCAAGAGCGGGAAAAGACACATGTTTGTCATTGTAGACAGATTTACCAAGTATGCCAGATTAATCGCCATGCCTGAGACTGCTAAAAGCGACTACATCATCAAGCTATTTCTAGACAACTGGGTACGCGATTTTGGTCTCCCTACGTCTATTGTAAGCGATAGGGATGTGAGATTCACTAGTGAACTGTGGCAATCCACAGCCCAGCAGATGGGCACCCAACTGCAAATGACATCAGGGAACCACCCTGAGTCTAATGGCCAGGCGGAACAGATGAACCGAGTATGCAGCATCTACTTCGGCATTACATAAAGCCAAGTCAGGATGACTGGGACGAGAAATTGCCTCTCGTCGCCAGCCTGTACAACAAAGTTGTGCACAGCACTCCTGGCATGACTCCCAACCAACTGCATCTTGGTTGTAGGTCCAGATCCGCCCTATATTTTCTACTACCCGAAAATCAGCCATCTGCAGCACCTGGCAGCATAGAGTTTGCTGTCAAGTATGAACAGATGCTACAACAGGCTGCAGAACACATTAAGAAAGCTCAAGATGCTATGGTGGAATCTGAGAACAAGCACAGACGACCAACTGAGTTTCAGGTAGGAGAGCGAGTACGGGTCAAGTCATCTGAACTGGGTCAAGAGTTGGGAATCTCACGAAAACTAATGCCCCAGTATTTCGGTCCAAGGGAGGTCCTAGATATAGTCGGGGATCAGATAGACAGACCCTCCTATTTAATTTGCATGCCTGCCCTTCACAGAAACATCCCAGTTCCCTTCCAGACAATCAATGCTGCCCCCAACCATGGATGGCGAAGTCGACATGGATGCCTGTTCCTAAACCTCCCGGCAGAGGCCGGCCTCCAAAGCCAAGGATGCAGTACCGTGTCAGATTCAGACACCATACTGATCCAAGCGAAGATCGGTGATTTACCAGAGAAGAACTCCAGCAAACGGCTCCCCAAGTGATTGCAGGATATGAAAGAGGACTCACGGGGAAGATGCCTGCAGATTAAAGGACTTCTAAGGGAACTATTGAAGTAAAGGAGGAGGGAATGTGAGGATTTGGCTCCTCGGCAGGCCTAAGGGGCCCCCTTTTTTTTCAAGTGTGCCCTCCGTAAGTGAAGGCGGGCCTGACAAATCACGAAAGGCCCATTGCTGTCAATTTCATATTTGGGGTTCAGGCAGTTGTGTCGCATCCATTGGTTGAAGGAACCCGGGCCACGAGCAGCAAAACTTTGCACAGCCTTCTAGGCCTTTTTCTGAAAAGCAGGCCCTCGGTCACATCTGCAGCAATATACACAGGCAGTTGGGACGCGTAACCAAACGAGTCCCAGCAGCAGCAGAGGCCCAGCTACCTGGGGCCTACCGGAAGCTTCTGGGCGCAGGCCCAGCCCAGCCAGGCCGCAGGCCACGCCAGGCTCTTTCCATATAGGAAAGAGCTCGCTGCCTAGACGGGCATTCGAGCACTTGTGAGTTTGCGGCAGCGCTGCTGGAGCGGACGCTCGCGGGCTGCTGCTAGCGCTAGAGGAAGGTGCGAGCATGTGCAATCGTGTGGGAGGAAGGGTGCTGCCGAGGACAGCGCCATAGCCCAGCTTCCATAGCTGCCTGGGGCTTGGACATACAGCAAGCAGTAGWGGTGGTCTTCGTGTACGAGGGAGAAGACGTGGGTGCAAGTCAAGGAAGAGAGAGAGAGAGAGAGAGAGAGAGAGAGAGAGAGAGAGAGAGAGAGAGAGAGAGAGATGACGATGATGATGTGAGGGCACATACCTGGCATTGGTGATAGTCTGCATTGGGCGACATCTTCATGTACGTCGGTGGCTGCTGACGTCAACAGTTACATTGTCAAATCGTAGGCAGATAGGAGCCGTGTGGGGGTAGTCTGGGCGCCGAGCGCCAAGTAGGGGGAGGGGCCTGGACTCTTATGTTGGTGATGACGAGAGTAAGATCTCATTGACATTCGCTTTCAGTGGTTCGATTCTCCATTGGTGTAATATTGGTGCAATGCTGCTTTCTGGACACAGTGGAACTTGCTGGCTTTCACTGCGATGGTGCAATCTGGATTCTGTCATCTCGCTATTGCTCATCATCCATGCACAACTCAAAGAGCCATGACTATAATGCAATGACCTCGGCCCAAGTCACGCCAGATTACATGTCCATGCAAGCTCGCAAACCATGAATCCACACTCCACGCATGAGATACACAATGAACACAAGAAAAGAAACTCGAAAGATTAAATTCGAAGTCAAGGAATGAACGAACAAGTATTCAGTTGTACACATGTGGCAGCCATGGCTGCTCTCACCAATCAATACGTATGTAGTACTCTCTCTCTCTCTCTCTCTCTCTCTCTCTCTCTCTCTCTCTCTCTCTCTCTCTCTCTCTCTCTTTCTCTCTATCTCTGGGGACTGCTTCCCCTCTCTCTCTCCCTCTTGCCCTAGCTATGCCACCTGTCGTCTCCAAACCAAGTCACACTCGATATATGGCAGCAGCACTTCCCAACAGACTTGGATGGCAAGTATGTGTTGCTTCACTGGAGGTGCAGTTTTGTAGTCAGCTGCAGCTAACAATCTTGGCCTTTTCGGACCAATGCCGATCCCTGGCTTCTAGGCCATGATTGTTCGACTTTTCAGGTAAGTACATCTTTCCTCGAACTAAGCTGATATTTTTTGGGACTTAGGCTGTCAACGACAGCCGACTTCCAACGACCTCAGGCTGCTGGATTGTCATGTATGGACCGCCTACGGACCCTATGGCTCCCACTGTCCAGCGGCCCTGCCGGTTCAGGACTTTAGAATTCTGGGACTGGGAACGGGGACAGGAACGGGAACGGGAACGGGAACGGGAACGGGACTGGGGTGCAGAATTGAGTGAAACCCTTTCACAAACATACTATAACGTCACCATCTTGAAAAAACAAGAAAATACATAACGTACGGCAAAGCTAATGTAGAGACAAAGTCTGACAAATACAGTAGACGAAGACCTGCGCAAGGTATCACACGATTCACATCACTGATGATATATTCTGGATCGATTGAAGCCCATATGGCTACAAGCAGAACCAGCACAGAAGAGCTCAATGAGTCCACAGCAGCGCAAAAGAAAAAAAAGAAAAAAAAACAGGGCAAATGATACATAATCCTGGCTGGCAGCAAGATCAGTGAACGTTATGCACAAATCTGAGCATGTACTTCAAATTTCAAACACAAACTGATTGGGGTAACAGCTTGCAATTGATAGGTGCAAATGGAGCAAAGGACTGTCGGCACTTCATGCGTTTCTATGTCGACTTAAAGCTTACCGGCATTTGGCAATCTTCTAGTCCAAAAAGCCAGATCAGCGTCATGCTAGGCTAGCCCAGAATACCCTTTTCCCTGGGAACAGACCCCAATGTTGGGCTCAACCTTGGGAGCCGACACCAAACTACTGCTACTGGTGCAAACTACGAAAACAAAAAGATTGAGAGAAGAGCGGGCGCCCCACCAATAGACAGGAGCCATCTGTGCGGTTGGGTGCCTGTCAGGGGATGCTCTTAACACCCCTGATAGCACCACCGGCAGATGTTCAAAGAGAGAGAGAGAGAGAGAGAGAGAGAGAGAGAGAGAGAGAGAGAGAGAGAGAGAGAGAGAGAGAGAGAGAGAGAGAGAGAGAGAGAGGAGCAGAAGGGCTGTTGCCTTGACTACATACAGTGTACGCAGCAATAGCATATGGATGGAGCACTGCTGCTTCCCTCAGCTTCCATGTCGCTGGTCGCTCAAGTTCTTCGATAGTCGGGCTGTTGAGCCATGTCTGCCTTGTCAGCATAGCGAGACCTATTTATTTTACAAGATCCGCATCCAGTCGCAAAAATACAGATGCATGCACAAAGTCAATAAACGGATTTGTTTCTTTTCCAATTTGTTTCACATAAGCCACCAGTGCCTCGCCCCGGCAAACTTTTAGAATAAAGAATGCGACATTCCCGGACGGCAGTGCTACCGGACCAAAATGGCTGGTGGCACCAACCAAAAGAACAAGGAAACGCCTCCATAGCGGTTCGTTTTTTGGGGCGTGCAGGGGGGAGTCCGTCTCGGCAAAAAAGGAGGCTCGGAGGTACCGGTGGTTTTACGTAGTAGTAATAAAATGATGAGGAGCGCAATGACAGCCAGACTGTGGACAGCGGCCTGTCCGATTTTCCTCCTGCTTGCTGCCAAAATTAAACCACCAGTACTCCGCCCAGCTACTATTGATGCCCACCGTAAATTCACCCTGCTCGTGGAAAGAAAAAAAAAAATGGAATGACGCCCGCCTGTTTTTGGCTGGTACCGCCAGCCATTTCGGCCCGGTACCTGAAACCCCGAAAAACATGGCTGGAGCCGCAAGCCTCGCTTTTCAAGCGGGGAAAGGTACTGGTGGCTTAACAAAACCTTTCAAATTCAGAGACATAAGTCATCCGATACATGTCATGCCTCCTTCCATGGCATCGGAATTACAAGTCTCTCCACTCCAAGCTCAACCAGACTCACAGGTTTTGTGTCCGGTTCAGCTTTGGACTGGAGAGAGAGTGAACTATTTCCACTGTGCATATTTGTCTCGAGTTGAGGGGTGCATCTCCGCTCCATATCTTTTTTTTGGGGCAAAACTGGGGCGCAGTCAAGGTTTTCAGTTTTAAATGCATTTCAGTCACGGTTTCGCAAATTTTACTCGAAAACGAGGAAAATCATGAATGTATCCAACCCAGCTTTAGGGTTGGGTGGGGGGTGTTGTATTCGAGGGATGCCAAAAGTGGATTTAGAACTGAAATTGTGGCTGCGCCGTAGTTACCCCCCTTTTTTCTGTTTTTTTCTGCAATTCTGTGAAAGTTCTGTAAAGTATACGAGGAACTTTCACAGATGACAAAGGTCGGGGGGGGGGGAGAACTCCAAACTTTTTTTGGGGAAAAAAAAAAAAAGTATATGAGGAACATTATGATGCTCCAATGATATGCGATTTCAACCAGTCATGTAGCGTCGAAATTGACGAGCCCTGTTTCTTGGCCTTACTTTCGTTCCCCGAACAGAACGTATGGTCATTATTGCTGCATCTAGACTGAACGATGGCCGAAATACAGGCATAATGACCGTACACTCTATTCGCGGGAAGACGGAGATAACGATTTCAACCAGGCAACATAGCATCTACTTTCGAGAGTGGATCCCTATTTCTTTGCCTCGCTTCTTAGAGCGTACATCATACGGCCATTATTGCTGCATCTGGACTGAAAGTTCCTCGAAATACAGGCATAACGACCCTACACTCTATTTGGGGGAAGACGGTAGTGCAAATATTTACTACACAACCAGCTCTTCCCCCATGCTACTTGGCCTATTTCAAGAAATTACCTATTCTCAGTATTCTGTGCTCTTACCTTTCTTTTTTCTTGGAGGAAAAAAAAAAAAAAAACTAAGCTATATTCTTCTCTCAATTTCACCTTTCACAGTTTCACTGTCTACCTACCACTACTCCTAATAAGCCTATACAGGGGACCCCTGCAAGCATAGCTACCACTACTCCTAATAAGCACAATTAAGGGGATGCATGTTCAGTATTGCCTCACTTCGGGGTGGTGGGGTGGGGGGGCGGGGAACGATTGCATGTCCCAGAAAGACTCGAACCAATGCAGACTACCGTCTTCACCCGAATAAAAAGCCCGGTCTTTATAGCAGTATCTGGACTGAAAATGGCTCCAAATACGGCCATACCGACAAGGCGTTCTCTTCGGGTGAAGAGGTAGTCATCGTGAAGTAGCACCAAAAAGAAGAGGTCAAAAATGGATTGCTCGGATTCCGGATAGGAGAATGGAACTTCTGACTGAAGGCTTGCAAGTCAGATTGTTTGTTCAAGACAATGGGCCTAAAGCTCCACTACTCTCAACATGCACAAATGACAAATCACATGGCCGTGCATCTTTCCATGTTCTAGCGGAAGATTCATTCTCACTTCGCACATTTCCTGAGCAGTGTAGCCAGGCCCAATCAAATAATAGATTCTCCATAATCACTGAGCAGTGAGCTTAGATTCGTGACAAATTCCCACCCCTGTTTCCTTTAATCTGCAGGCATCAAGGCCACTCAAACAGAAAGCCGGTGGATGGCAGATGTCAGAACCCCGCCGCTCAGTGCACCAAGTGCCACATGAACTTTTCATTTGTAAAATTGTGTGAATCAGATTTGTGAGGGAAAAAAAAAAATCAAAAGAAAGTCAAAATTTATCCGCTCTGTATCCCTCCAACGCACAAATCGAAGATTTGAGCAAAGACTCAAAAGAGTTCGGAAAATTGCACTAGACGATCTGTCGCAGCCTCACAGTCAAAGAAGAGGAGGGTTTGACAAAAACATTTTTTGCTTGTTTTTTAATCATTCAACGTGCCTTTGCATTCTCTCTCTCTCTCTGTGTGTGTGTGTGTGTGTGTGTGTGTGTGTGTGTTATAAGCTTCCCCCACAACAACCCCTATTCCAACCAGATGAGTAGAACCGGACTGAGTCCGCCCAAACAGGCAGCACGAATCACAATAGAACCATTTTGAACCGTGTTTAGCTAGGGTTTCTTTGGGGCAACAGCTCCTCTTTCACTTTGCCTTGCACGTACAAGGCTGCCCACGTTGATGGTGGTTGAG